TGCCCAGGCAGCGAGGGGCCCAAGAGCGATGCCCAGGCAGCGAGCGCCCAAGAGCGCTGCCCAGGCAGCGAGGGGCCCAAGAGCGCTGCCCAGGCAGCGAGGGGCCCAAGCTGAAGCGGCAGCGAGGCCTGGGGGTGGGTAGGGGCCAGGTGAGACCGGAGGCCAAGACCCAGGTGCCCGCGAGAGCGAGGAGCCAGCTGCCCCCGGTGCCCCGTGGGTCTACCCCCGACTTGGACCCCACTCACCCAAGACGTGCGCGCAGGCAGGTGCAGGATCCCATGTACCAGCCCCCGGCCGGCCTCACTGGTTCTGCACCACGGCAGCCAGGAGAGCAGCGCCAGGTGTCCCATCTTCCACCGCCCTACCCAGCTGCCTGGGGGGAGGCAGAGGCCCCACGCCCCCCCTGCAGGGCAGAGCCAGGCTCTCCAAGCGCTGCAGGGGGCTTACGCCAAGCTGGGCGCAGCTCCCCACACCTCTGTGCGGGGTGGGGGGCAGGCGCCTGGACCCGGGGCATGGTGGAGGTGGGCCGTGAGCCCCTTCCCCTGCTCAAGGAACCGCGGCCATGCTGAAGGGCCCCTCCTGCACGCATCCCCTTTGCTTTCATGTGATTTGGCACCCTTCTTCCTGCTGTCGTTTGAGGCTGGACTGGAGCAGCCGGGGAAACCTTTGGCCCCGACTGCCCCCACGATGCAGAAGGGACTGACTGCAGCTGAGTGCCAGCTCCCCCAGCAACCCAGGCAAGAGGGGTGGAGAGACTCCAGCCCGCTTCCAAGGCCCCGGCAGCCAAGGAAGTCAAGGGGGATGTTGAGCCCGGAGAGTCCTTGCCTAAACTGCTGAAGCCTCACCATGCTGCTCTTAAGCTAGTGCCAGGGCAGGAGCTGGCAGACCTCTGCCCTGTGGGGCTTCCCTGCAGGCAGGTCCAGAGGGGCCTTAGCTCTGCAGAGCAAGAAAAGCAGCAGGGGCTGCAGCCAGGCAGCACGGCTCTCCTCTCCCAGAAAAGTCCCTGTTGACAGAGGTGAGCTGGAGATAAGATTGGAGCTGCCTCCCAGTCATGAGATTAGGCCCCACACAATGCGCCTGTCTGGCAGCGGGCACCGGGGATGATGAAACCGTCTGCCAGGTGCCTTCCCGGCACCGCCGCGATCAGCCCAGGGGTTAATGAGTCAGGGAGCAGCCCGCAGACATCAGCTGTTTGAGAAGGGATCAGGCCCAGCCCCAGCCCCTCCATCACCTGCTGCGTCTCCCCCCATCCAGACACCAGCTCCAGGGTCAGAGCAGCAGAGGCAGGTTGAACACCTGCCCCCAAGCCTGTGTCCCAGGGAAGGGGCAGGTTCCCCATGGCCCCCAGCTGGTACCGGCCCCCAGAGAATCGGCCCACAGCCCCGCTGGATGAAACTGTATTTATTGAGAAAAAAAATGGTCCGCTACAAATACATCATCGATTGTTCGTCAAAAAACGGATGTCTCGTTAAAAGTCCTAGTCAAATGCAAAAGAGTCACAAAGAACACACGGGAACAGCATGACCGGCTAGGACGCCGCATCCGACAGACAACACACAACACGGGACGCCCCTCCTGCCCCTGGAGGGCAAGACCGCCACCCCCTGCTGCCGTACCAGGGGGGGAAGCCAGCAGTGCCCGGTGCTCAGGGAGCGCCAGGCTGAGCTGGCACCGAGCTGGGGAGTTTCAGGAGTGGGGTTTAAAGTGCTTTATGAAAGCAGGCTGTGCTGCCTGGGGTGGGGGACAGTGGAGGCAGGGTCCAGACACCCAGCTTGCTGCCACCACGGGTCTGAGGCTAATGGACAGTACCCCGTTAAGACAGCAGGCAGGGATCCTCAGCTCCGACCCTTCACGACGCAACCCTCCCTCCCCCCACACCCACCCACCAACCCACACACGCGGGCTGGTGAGCAGGCTGAACCCCTTTAACCACAGAACCCAGCAGCCCAGAGAGGACTGTCTGGGAAGCCAGACTCTGCTGGGGGGGGCTCAAATAAAGGAGGGATATTGCAAGGAAAACCCACAGGCACCCTGCCGGGAACAGGAGCTGGCAGGGGGGTGAAGAAAGCCCCAGGCCGGGAACAGGGCGGCACTGTCCAGCACGTCCCCCACCGCAGAGGTGGTGACTCAGCCGATCAGGGCACTGCTTGGATCAGCCTGTCTCTGCTGAGTGTTTGCCTTCCGCTCCGCATTGTATGGAGATCTGGGCTTGTCTGGTGCTGGGGAGGGGGGAGCAAAGGAACCCACCCAGCACGGCAGAGCCAGGTGCAGCAGGTGGGGCACGACCTGCCAGGGGAAGGGAACTTGTGCCCCCGCCCCACATCTGAGCCCTGCCTGATGCCAGCAAGCAACTGCAGAGACTGCCTGGGTCACACAGCTTTGACCCAGGCCAGGGGAATGAGTCATGCCCCCACCACATGCCCAGCACCTTTCACACGAGAGCCCCAGAGGACTGTGAGAAGGGGAAGGTGCCACCCTGGCAAACCTGAAGACAGTAGTGTCCGGGCGGCGCACGGATAAGGAAACAGAAGCACAGAAGCAAAAAGGCTGCTCTGCTAGCCACTGAAGTAGCCGAGAAGACGAGGGGCGCAGCTCCACCCGCTACCCCGTGCCGCCTTGCCAGGCGTGCTACTGACCCTCCAGTAAGCCTGGCTGCCAGGCTGGGGCGCGAGGGCATGGGCAGGAGTGTCTGCAGGCAGCGGGGGGCTCCACTCCACCAGCAAGGCCCAGGACAGGACACAGCACGCAGGGAGGGCCCCGATCCAGCGGGACAGCTGCACCCCCTGGAGGCTTCTTCTGGGAACGACAAGAACAGCGAGCGATGGGACAAAAGCACCCACGAGCCCAAGCTGGGAGCGGCCAGGAGAGAGGGAGTTGGATGGGGCAGCTTTCCCAGCCAGCCCAGCCCTGCTCCTGGGCACACACCCCACAGGGCCATGGCCTCCACCCCCTGGGAAAGAAGAGGCTGCTCTAGGGCATGGAGGGACAGGCATCGGGCTCCCAGCTGAGATGGGAAGCCTGGGGAAGAGGGCTTACGTTCCACCTTTGTGAGCCCACGCTCCCACTAGGAATCGAGGCAGGTGGCACAGGGCTGGGACTAGAGGGCAACAGGTCCAGGCCTCCCTGCCTGCTCCACTGCCGGCTCCAAGGGCCACGTGCCACGCTGGGGGCAGCAGACATGAGACCATAGCAGCTACAGTGCACTGGAAGTAGCATTTCCTGCCCAGCCCTGCTGCCTTTGACATTTCCTGGCCTGCTTTGCTGGCTGCGCCATTCCAAGGAGAAACATCATAGCTGCTAAAACCCAGTGTCATCTCAGGCTTCAGCCAGATCTGCCCCATACCCCGAGAGGCTCATGCAGCAGCTGGGCTGCAAGGGACAGTGATCGGGGCGTCTGGCGGGGGGTCTGGAGGGCCCAGGGGTGCACAGCCTGGCACAGAGCAGGCCCTTCCTGCCCATGCTGAGGGCACAGGGTGTGCACTAAATTCTGTTGCAAGCACTGAAGCAAGCACTGGCCAATGAACACAGGTATCAGCGTAACCTCTGGGCACTGCAGTGCTTGCTTGGGACCTGCTGCACCCCATCAGGCCCAAAGCTGGCCTCTTCCTCCACCCTATCCCTGCTGTTTCAGAGGACAGCATGACCCCAATCCCTGGCTTTGCTCCTGCTGACAGGCTCCTGATGCCACTTGGGGATTAGAGTCCACCCAGCCACCCACAAACTGGCTAAGTCTGCTGGCTATCAAGGAGTCCCTTCTCTCAGGGCAAACCTTGACAGCTCATAGCAACCAGCTGGGGGGTCCCCATGCTCCAGCTTCACATTCAAAACTTCCAAGATCCCAACAAAGGATTTGAGAGGGAGCTTTTGGCACCATGAGTAGAAGGACAGACATCAGAAGCCTGAGCCATAGGTATCCCTTTGAACAGAGATCACTGCAACCAGCCCAAAATCTCTGCCCGGTGAGAACCAAAGCAGCCCTGCTCTAATGCCTGCCAGGCTCCGGCAGATCGCAGAGACCCTCGTCACTACAAAGAAGCCAGCTAACACCGCCTGCAGACCAAAAACGGGCCGAAACCTGGAGCTCGCATAATACTGAGTAACTCCTGGCATTGCATCCACTATCTTGGCCCCAGCTCAGCCGCATGCCAGCCTCAGCTTTCTTTGTAGAGATGCCCGATGGAAAACCCTTGGAGATAAACCAACATGTCTGAAACTAACAGAGTCGCTCAGGCCTCCAGGAAGATAACACTAGTCATCCCTGCCCTCTTTCTCCAACCTGCAGCATGAGCTTTGAAAAATAGATTTTTTTTTTTCTCTTAATAATGTCCCATAAAAATACTACTGTCCCTAGTCAGACACCAGTATTGCAACATGAAGAGGAGTTGCCGCTTCACCCTGGCCCTAGAAAACGTGAAAAGGTTTCACATGGGTTAATGTAGAAAAATGCAAGAACTCCTTGCATCACAAAAAGCCAGTACAAAATGATCAGGGGGAGAGAACTGGACTGGATGGCGAATGGCAGGAGGGCTCAGGGCCTCCCAGCTGCTTCTAGCTACAGATTTCCAGTACGCTTGTCCTCACAGCACAGCCGCTGTAGCCCAAGTGCCACCTTGCTTCTGGTCTGGGCCCATGTGGGGGAGAGCATGAGCAGTTGCCACTCAGCTGTGGAGGGTCGGGGTCTCCATCTGTGCCCTTCCCGGGCTCAACCCCCCTCTGCTCCGTGCTTTGGAAAGAGAAAACAGGGAATGAGCAGAGCTCCTGATGAAGACGTGTGGTCCTGAACACGCTGCTGAAAGAAGTACCGATTAAACTGTGAAGAGGAAGAGGGTAGACGGTGCCCAAAAAGCATCTAGTAATAAATAGATCGATGTATACTCCGTTATCTGGATCTGGAACGTCCCAGTGAAGGAACCCGGCAGCAGGGAAGGGCCCCCGTCCTGTCCAGCCAGGGTTGCTCTGGCCCCCACTCTGTCACGTCACTGAAAGCTCCCACCTTATTCAACAAGGTGCGAGGCTGAGAGGATGGTCTGCCTACTCGCTAGAGGATGCCGGGGTGGATGAGCTCCCTGCCTCACTGGCTGCAGTGGCAAGCGGCCAGTGCAGAGGAGGGTGGAAGGTCGAGGGCCCCGCTGCAGCTTGGCCATGGCCGTCAGTTCTCAGAGAGGGAAAGCGCCAGCGCGGCTTGCAGTGCTGCCTCCTCGTCAATGCTATAGTCCTGCGAAGGAACAAGACACGCCAGTCAGAGGAGCTGGCACTTCCCACCTGGGATCTGCCTCTACAGGGTGCCAAGGGATATACCCCAGGGCCATGTGGTCCCTGGAGTGTTGGCACCTGCTCTGGGGCAGCAGAGGGAGCAGCAGTCACTGCTTTCCCCATGTAATTCCTGCACTGCAAGACATTGGGGCTGGCTGCTATCCCCTGCATCCAGTTCTTTTGGCTTGCATGGCTCAGACGAGCACGGTTTATGTCCAGGCTGTGCTCCTGAAGGCAGATGCCCTGCTGGAAAGTGTTGGAACAAGCAGACATCTGCCAATCCCTTCCTTCAGCCTAAAGCTGCGCTCCCTTTTAGAGCTAGAACATGTACATAACCCTGAGCCTGGTCTCTCCCCTGCAAGGTGAACAGGTGCTGGCATGCAGGTGGCTGCCCAAGAGGGAGACTGAACAAGTCTGGCTGAGCTGGGGCTGTTTGTGAGCACTCCCCTCAAGACAGCACTGCTCCCCCCAGCTTGGGCAGAGAGAACCATGCTGTGCCAAGTGCTGGAGAGGTCCCAGTGCCTGCCCACGCAGTGTCTGTTGGCTGCTGCTGGACAGTCAGTCTCCATGCTCAGGGCTGAGAGAACGCTTTTGTCCAGGCCAACGGGGGCATGTCGAGCTTGCTGTGGGCAGAGCCTGCAAGGAGCTGAACCCTCCAGCCAAGCGCCCTGGATTCCCACAGGTTCCTGGGCATTTCCTGGTGCTTTTCCGGTGGATTCTGCTGACAGCTTGTGAATACTCCACCCTACCCCCACTGCCTGGCTGGCAGCTCATGGCTTCTTCGGGGCTTTGGCTGCCCTCCCATGTAAGCACATCCCCTCTATCACCCAAAGTGGAGGGAAGGACCGGGGAGGGCAGCATGACAGCCTGGCTCCAGATGGGCTGCAGCCAGGGCCTCAGACAGCCTTGCCCCAACCCCAGTGCACACGACCTCCTATGAATCCTGCACATTAGCTCCTGTCACAGTTACTTTGTCTCATGTCCCTAACCCCAGGGCCGATGGACCAACCCCTGCAGGCTACATGTCCCCACCGGCACACTGTGATCTAAAACCAGAAGCTATTTCAGGCCACAATGGGGAAGAGAACAATGATTCCCTATTAACTGGTCCCCTCCACCTGGAATCCAGGACCCAGCAGCTCAGTCCCAGAGGGCTCTGCAGAAACACAGGCAGCTCCTGGATGCCCGGAAGCATGGTGAGGTGGGCAGCAGACTCAGGGACTGAGCCCAGGCTGGGCCTCATGTGAACAGAGAGCTGACTTGCCCCAGACCTACCACAAAGGTGTCATAGGAGAACTTGTGCCGGTGCAGGAGGTGCTGCAAGAAGTTGGCACTCTTGTAGCTGGGATCCCCCCAGGGCATAGCGGAGCAGACTGGGCACACCTGTGGTGGCAAGGAGAGAGCAGTGGTGACAGGATTGCGGCCTGGGGGAGCCTTGCCTGCATCCTCCCCCACCCCCTGCTCCCTTTGCTCCCACCAGGCCAGCAGCAGCTCATGCCCATGTCAGCTTCCTGCATGGGCACCACGTGCCCCCACAGCTGCAGCCTGGTGTGCCATGTCACCCCCCCACAGCCTCTACCTCCCATGACCACACGTCTGGCTGCAGGCAGGTGTGCTCAAGCCACGTACACGCACTGCCCCGAGGAGGCTGCGTTTGTATGCTCTTCTCTGCGGTCTCCAGGCTGAATGGGGTGGGAGGGGAGAGGTCTGGGTCCGAGGTATTTCCAGGAGTGACTAGAAATAACGGTCACAAGCTGGCAGAGGGTAAATTCAGACTAGACATCAGGAGGCGCTACTTCACGGTCAGGGCGGCTAGGATCTGGAACCAACTTCCAAGCAAAGTGGTGCTGGCTCCTACCCTGGGGGTATTTAAGAGGAGGCTGGATGAACACCTTGCTGGGGTCATTTGACCCCAGTACTTACTCAGGTCCCTTCTGACCCTACCAACTATGAGGTCCATGCCAAAGGGACCAGGCTGGGGCTGACACAACAAAGCCTGCTGTTCTAAAGGCACACTGCATAGCAAAGTGCCCCTTGTGCATGCAGCCCAGCCCACAGCTAATCAAGTGAACAGACCCAACTCTGCACCTGCCTCTCAGAGAGAGACGGCGATGAGAAATGAGCCAGGCATGCAGCTTGCGCACTGCTCCTGGGAACAGCCGTGCATGCCTGCCGTCTGAGGACCCCGGCCAGACGCACCCTGCTCTGCTCCCTCCCCAGGCTGGAGAGGGCACAGTGGTGGGGACCCCGGGGGCCGGGCGAGGCTCACCACTTTGTTGGGGTCATTGCGGTGGTTCTCCATGCAGTGCTTGACCAGCTCCTGCTGGTCCAGGTTGCGGGCACCGCAGTAAGGGCAGATGAACGTGGACCGGTTGGGGATATTGCTGAAAGCAAAGCAGCGCATAAGCCAACAGCTGGCGAGATGCGAGGCAGTGCACTGAACCTCAGAGACTCCCCTCAACAAATCATCCCCTGCCGCCCCCAGGATACGAGACCCAGCGCCACTACCTGGGGATGGGCTGGGAGGTGGGGATCACCGGCACGAACTTGGGGCAGTTGGCCATCTGCTCCTGCACCTTCCCACAGGACGAGACGTGGGACCTCATCTTTGTCAGCGTCACCTAGGAGAGCGTCACGCAAAATACCCCTCGGTTTCCACCCCGGGCGACTCGCCCGAGCGGGGGCAAAGCTCCGCACCCGGGGGAGGGAGCAGGGAGGGGAAGGGGGCAGACTTGCCTTCTTGCTGCATCCCCGGCAGGGCGCCTTGTAGGAGGAGAGCTGCTTCTCCACGTTGGAGGCCTTCTCCACCTTCTTGGGATCGAAGGGCATGCGGCAGAGCGGGCACAGCGGGGAGGGCACCTGGAGGCA